AATGTGGGGAATTGAGGCAGGGGGATCATGAGCCTGGGCGAAGGAGGATAAGGAAGAGGAAGGGAAGGAGGAAAAAGTGAAAAAGAAAGCAAAGATGGAGAAGAAAAAGGAGGAGGAAGAAGAGAAGAAGATGGAGGAGGAACAGGAGGAAGGAGAGGAAGGAGAGGAAGGAGGGTTTTGTTTTATTTTTGTTTTTTCAAGGTCTCTCTGTGTAGCCCTGGCTGTCCTGGATCTCACTCTGTAGACCAGGCTGGCCTCGAACTCACAGAGATCTGCCAGTCTCTGCTTCCCGAGTGCTGGGGTCAAAGGCGTGCGCCACCACCACCACTGCATGCTGTTTTATTCAGCTGATGGGGACCCAGGTGTCCCCCTTTCTGGCAGGCCATTTGAATGCAGGCAAACCCTGACTCAGCCCCCCATTCCTTCTCAGGTAGCTTGGCATCATTCTTCCTCTACGCGTCTAGGGAAAGATGCAAGTCCCACCCACACGCCTCCAAATCCCGCCACATCCAAATAAACAAGAACTGAAAGGAAGAAGCAGAGCCACTGAGCCCCGGAGCAGGCACCCGATGGCGTCCACAGGGAGGAACACTTTAAACACAGTGCACATGTACGAGTCTCCAGCGTGTGCATGCGAGACTCCAAACACTCTTTGGAAAAGAAGGGACGCATGTTTCGATCAAGGTGCAGCTTACACATTGTTAGTGAATACCTGAGACAATGGCTTCCAGAAGGGACGTAATCCGTCTCTCTCCCCCATTTCCTCCCTCCCTCTCTCCCCTGAGCGTGTGTGCATGTGTGTGTTAGTGTATGAACATGCTCTCATGCGTATAAGTGCTGCGGTGTGTGTGTGGGGGCACTGGAGGTCTACCACTCTCCAAATTATTTGAGACAGGGCCCTCTCACCAAACCTTCAGCTCACCAATTTGGTGATGACTGAGCTGCAGGGATTAGCTGACCTCTGCCCCCACGCGCAGCTTTTTACTTGGGGTTGGGGATTCGAACTCAGGTCCTCAAGCCTGTTGGGTGAGCACTTTACCGACTGAGCCGTCTCTCCAGCTGGACGTACAGCAGGCTTCAAAGCATCTAATGCTGTGCTAGTTCCTGGTGGAGAGGTGAGGGCTTGGGCGTCAAGTGGATGGCCACCCTGTAAACAGTACCGGCATGCTTCATGCGCTGTGTAGATTGAGTCTGTTTCACAAGGAATTTCACCAAAAGCCTCAGACACGGAAGCAGGAGGGTGGCCCAGTCTGTGGGGACAACGAATTTCTCTCTAAACAGATAAAGCAGGATGGCGCCCAGATCAGTGTAGTTCATTAGTAGGAAAGACCGAATCAGTCCTTTTGAATATGGGCTCCCCCTGCCCCCAGCCCCAAGGCATCCACTTCCGCTTAGGCAACATCTCCATCTCTCATTTGCCACAAATAAGAGCTTCATTTCCTTTGAAGAGTCTCCTTGGGCTGGGTGCGGTGGTGCACTCCTACACCACCACGGGAGGAGCTGGAAGATGCTCCCGCCGGTGAAGTCCTGTGCAAGCTTGAGGACCTGAGGCTGATTCCCAGAACCCACTGTTTAAAAAGCTGGGTTTTTTAAATAAAAGCCTGGTGGCGCACACCTTTAATCCCAGCATTCAGGAGGCGGAGGCAGGTGGATCTCTGTAAATTTGAGGCCAGCCTGGTCTATGGAATGAGTTTCAGAACAGGCAGGGACTACCCAGAGAAACCTATCTCGAAAAACCAAAAACCAAACCAAAACAAAGTTTCATTTCCCTCTTGAACGAGTGTCTCATCAGCTGCCACTTTGGTACCATGTTTTGGCCGTAGGTCCTGTTTTTCTCTGTCCCCCATCCCATTGCTCTTATCCTATTTTTTCAGGATTTTTTTAGGATGGGGGGGGGCGGGAATTCCTTATCTTGTGCTGGATTCCTGCCCAGCCCGTAGCTCCTGGGTACTTGTAAGGTCTCTATTCACCTACCTCCTGCGGCAGGGAACTCACTCCTCTCTAGATGGCTTCCTTATTTGAACATCTCCTTCCCTGAAGCCATCCACCCATGGTTCAGCAATCTGGGACAGAGACCGTGGCCCGGTGACATCTTTGGCAGATGTTTGCAGATAACAGCTGGATCCTCCCTGAGAGGAAAGGGGCTTTAGTGTCTCACACTGTGTTACTGTTGTTCACACCAAAGCCAGCTCATCTCCCTGCTATCTCAGTGTGAGGACTTGGAAAACCAGGGGGAAAGTGTGTATGGGAATTTGGGTAGGTTCAGATACGGGGCTGGGGAGATAGATCATCAGCGATGTGTAACGTGCTTTCCTTATGAAGAACTAAGTTTCAGCCCCACATCTCACATAAAAAAAAAAAAAGGCAGGTGTGCAGGCATGATGTGCTTAGAGTCCCACAGCACAGCCAGATTGATGAGTTCAAGGTCAGCAAGGACCCTGTCTCAGAAAACCAAGGTGGACAGGCAGGGGATGTACTCAGTTGAGAGAGTGCTTGTCTAGCACCCTGTAAATTAGTTATGGTGATTCATTCCTCTAACCCCAGCAGAGAGGGGAGATGGAGGCAGAAGGACCAGAAGTTCTAGATTATTCTTAGCTACATAGTGAATGTGAGGCCAGCCTGGGCTACATGAGACTCTGTCTCAAAACAAAATGAAAATGAAGTAGCCCAAGGGGTGGACAACATCAAAGGAATGACATCCAAAGGTGTCCTTTGGCCTCATGCACACATATGTGTACGTGCACACACATGAGCAGGTATGCACAGAGATCACAAACACGAGAGAGAGAGAGAGAGAGAGAGAGAGAGAGAGAGAGAGAGAGAGACTCAGAGACAGAAAGAGCGAGATGGGGGAGGGACAGGAAGATGGTCCTGGATTTCTGGGGGATCTTGGAACAGCGGATAAAGCAGAGCGTGGCCTCCTGCCTCTATGGGGCCCAGGCCTGGCTTTGCAAAAGAAAATCAAAGTTGAAGCAAACTGTCCAGAGGAGATGGAGCTGGGGAAGGTGGGGCTGGAGGAAGTGGGTCATTAAGGGTGGGTCTCCAAAAGACCTGTCTGTCCTTGGACACTCCCTGTTGCTCCTCTGTCGGCTTCCTGTCTCCCATGAAGTGTGCAGTTTCCGAGTGTTTTCCACCACGACGCTCTACCTTGCCTCCGTCCTGAGACAATGGGCTGAATCTGTGACTCAGAGAACAAACCTTCCCTTGTTTCAGCTGTGTGTGTCGGGCGTTTCCTTATAACAACGAAAGGACTAACAGTGTTTGGAGACTTCCTGGCCAGAGCACTGCGGACATCACTTAAGTTCCCCCATCCTGTCTCCCTTCCAAAATTACCACTCCACATTTCCTCAAAAGAATATTTTATTTTATTTTATTTATTTATTTTTGAGACAGATTTCTCTGTGTAGTTTTGGTGCTTGTCCTGGATCTCGCTCTGTAGCCCAGGCTGGCCTCGAACTCACAGAAATCGGCCTGGCTCTGCCTCCCAGTGCTGGGATTAAAGGCGTGCGCCACCACTGCCCCACCTGAGATTGTTTTTTTCTATTTGTTTTTAATTTGTGGCTCTGAGTGTGGTATGTGCACATGCCTGCGGTGTCTGAGGAGGCCAGAAAAAGATGTCAGATCCCCTGGTGCTGGAGCTGCCTGATATAGGTGCTGAGGAACTGGATCTGGTCCTCTGGAAGATCAGCAAGCACTCTCAACCACTGGTCCATCTCTTCAGCTCCAGTCCCCCACTTTTAAAGGCTCCAGAATGCCCCTAGCTTAAAGTATTAACACCGTGTTGTCTATGTCAAAGACATCATCGCGTGTTGTGTTTATGTCCATGCTCTTCCTCATTTTCCCTGTCTACATCTGCCATTTGAGCTTTTCTGTTGTGGTGTTTGGAAATATTTGCCTTTTTAACCTTAATTAAGCCATCTTTGGCCACATCCATAGGCTGAGTAGGAAAACTGAGAATGAACGAACGGTGTGTTTGTTGCTAGGGTTATGTGAGTATGTGGAGCACCGTTTTGTTTTGTTGTTGTGGCCTTTGAGGGGCTCTGGCAGGCCCGATCTTGGCAAGCATGGCTCTGGCAGTCCTTACCCTTCCCCGATTCCCTTTGCCTGGCTAAACTGTTAGATTTTATTTCTAAAACTGGCCGCCAAGGTCTGTTCTCTTATTTGACCACTTCCCCTTCCTGGGGCTGACTACCAAGGTCCAGCTATCAAAGTATTGAAGTCCAGCAACCAAAAGCCCCCTTTTGGCTTACCTAATTAACACACCCAAGCAAAACAAAACAATTTGTCCTAACACAAGGTTTCCTTTTTTATCTTTATAAACTGCCATTTGCCTATGGGATACATCTGTCTCCTCTCTATCCAGAGGCAGTCCTTTGCCCCCTTTCCCCACACCCCGGACAAACATCCCTTCCCCTCTCCCTTGTTCCTTCATCCTCTACCTCCTGTGTTTGTCTCTTTTCCCTGCCCTTTGTCCCTCTGGAGCAAATAAATCTTTGTGCTGAGAACTCAGTCTTGGTGTGTCTTGTGCCGACTCTGGTCTTTTCAGCTTTTCCTCCTGCTCTTACTTCTGTGGCAGATTCTAAATGTTCTTTCGCTTCTGTTTATTGCCTCTTAAGTTGTTCTAAAGCTTCGGGAAAACTATAAGATCTATGGAATCCCCCATCCTCACTGAACTCTTTCTCACTGCTGTTTGCTCTCGCCCATCCTTTTTGCTAACCTGGATCTTGTTGTCCAGGGTTACTCTTTGTTATTCCCCTGGGCTGGACCACTTTTGTGTGCATCCCCCTTCTCTCTCTGTCTTGAGTTATTTATACTTTCCTTCCTCTTAGAGGAATTGACAGGTGTTTTGGAAGTTTGAGAGTCTCAAAAACCACCTGTGATGCTGGCTAATTTAGTTGGGTATAGAATTCAGGGTTCCTGGCTAGTTTAGCTGGATATAGAACAGGCATGTGCTACCATGACCTGTGACTCTTCATTCTCTTTTTTCTCTCTCCTTCCAGGTGATCCATATACCTGAGCACCTGTTGGAGCCCAGGAGCCTCTACTGTGGAGGGTCTCCAAGCAAGCTTCAGGTCATTTGCAGATCTTATTAGTATGTGGTTTTCAGACACAGAAAGACAAATACCATGAAAGACAAGTATCATATGTGCTTACTATATAGAAGCAAACGAGTTGATCTTAAAGAAGAAAAGGCAGAATAGTGATTACTAAAGATTGGAAAGTAGCTAGATAAAAGAGAGGATTGAATATCAAATTATATATCCACACATATAGTCAAATGGGAGAATAAGTTCTGGTGCCCTATAGCACAGTAGATTGACTATCATTTACAATGACTTATTATATGTTACATATGTATAATATTATATATTATCTATAAATGTTCTAAATTTGATATATAATAATTGCACAATTTTAATATGCAATACACAGGCTTGTACATGTAGGGTCTCTATGATTATTCTTTACTGGGACATCTTTATCTCACCAGCCTTGCAAGAGTGAAGAAGGTTCATAAAGGTGGTCCACCTTGTTTGGATGTGACAATGGAGACACGCCAGAGTGTGTATGGAGGGCTGGATTAAGGAGGAAATGATGTTGGCATACATTCTAGAGCACAGGGAACTCCTGGGGCCATGGTTTGACTTCTTCAGCCAAAGCCTTGCCTGGAACAAGAGTCTGGAGCTGGGAGAAAATCCTGTGTGCATAGTGGTCACCTACCCAGGCTGCAGCTGGACAGCCAACATCCCAGGGTGTGAACTTGCCTGGGTACCTCTATTCTGGGTTCCCAGGAGATCGTGTTCTCAATATCAAGAGTCACCATGGTGGGAGCTGGGAGACGGTTCTATCGGTAAGGTGTTTCCTGTGCAAGCATGAGGACCTGAGTTTGATCCCCAGAACCCACTGTTTAAGAACCTGGGTTTAAAAAAATGCATGATGGTACAACACCTTTAATCCCAGCACTCAGGAGGCAGAGGCAAAGGCAGACAGATCTGTGAGTTCAAGGCCAGATTGATCTACAGAGTAAGTTCCAGGATAGGCAAGGCTACACAGAGAAATCTTGTCTTAAAATAACCACCTGCCCCCCAAAAAGACAATTAAAAAAAAAAAAAAAAAAAAAAAAAAAAAAAAAGTTGACTATGGTGGAGCCAATTTGTAATCCCAGGACTAGGGCAATGGAGACAGGCTTGAAAACTAGCCACCTAGCCTACTTGGAAAGTTCCAGGACTGAGCAACCTTGTCTCAAAAAAATGGTGGATGGTGTCTAAGGAAAAATAATACCCAAGGTTGTCCTATGACTTACACACACACACACACACACACACACACACACACACACTTGTATAATGGATAGGGAAGCATGGGAAGCCTTGGGTACTCCCTGGGAGTCCGGGCACCTTGGGATGTATGGGGGGTGGTCAGAGTTCTGCCCTGGTGCAGGGCTTGGGTGCAGGCAGATTCTAGACCACCTGACTCAGGGCTGTCACGTGGGTATTTATCAGAACAAACAGGTTTTGTGTGCATTTCGCGATCTTAGCGTCTTTAATTTGTTGCACAACAAATTGGAGAAGATTTAGCATGTATTTAATTAATTTGACGAAAATAGTTCAACAACCGTAAACAAGGCTGAGCAGAGACACTTGCTTGTTCTCTGGAAAGCAGAACCTCGGCTCCTCCAGAGAGTAGGGGGCGGGGCCTCGAGGCTGGGCTGCTGCGCAAGTTGGCTCTCGGGGCCCAGGGAGGGGGCGCGGTCTCTAACACACTAGGGTGTGGTTAGGGAGCTGGGCAGGAGGCTTAGGTAAGTCTTAGTAGCAGGCCTCCCGACCCTCGTGGCCTCCTCATGAATAAATGATGCGAGCCCCCGCCGTACGGCACTTCCTGGAGTCAGTAGCCTGAAATCCCTGGAGTCCATTGCACTGTTTGTCCTCCAAGGCGAAGCTGTAGTAACTGAGGATTGTGTTTGGGGGCTGGGAGATGGCTGTCCATAAAGTGCCTGCCCGGCAAGCATGAGGACCTGAGTTCGAGTCCCAGAACCCACATAAAGAACTGGGTATATACTCTTGCAATCTCAATTGCTGGGAAGAAGAGACAGGATCCTGGGCCTCCCTGGCCAGTCAGTCTAACTGAATTGGTGAGTTCCTAGTCTCAGTGAGAGACCCTTCTTCCAAAGCCAAGTTGGGGCTTAGGGACCCGGCTCAGTGGTTAAAATGCCTGTTGCACAGGTATCAGAACGTTAGTTCAGGTCTCCAGCACCCTTGTAAACAGCTGGGCATGTGGCATGCATCTGTCCCCTCAGTGGTGAGCGGTGGGAGCTGGAGGACCCTGGTGCTCGTTGGCTAGCCATTCTGGGTGACTTCCAGATCCAGTGAGAGACACTAAAAAAAAAAACAACAACAACAACAACAACAACACTCAGCAGAGCTGGAGAGATGACTCAGTGATTAAGGGCACTTGTTGCTCTTGCAGAGAACCCAGGTTCAGTTCCCAGCATCCACATGGTGGCTCACAACCATCCATAACTCGAGTCCTGGGGGATCCGATGCCCCCTTCTGACCTCTGCAGGCACTAGGTACACACGTAACACACACACACACAGGCATGCAAAATACTCATAAAAGTATAATAACTAAATCCAAAATTAAAAATAATAGTAATAATAAAGCAGAGATCAATAGGGGAGACACGTGACATTGACCTCTGCCTTCCCATGTGCCCACATGGGTGAGCACCTCTCCCCACAAAAAATAAGGTAGATGGCTCCTGAGGAACAGCACTTGAGGCTGACCTCTGGTTTGTGTGTGCATGATGTGTGTGCGTGCACACACACACACTAAATGATTGTGTTTGGCTGAGTAGCAGAACAACCTAAGAATGGTATAAACATTTTATATATAGCATATAAGAAGTCCTGAGATAGGAGATTCTAATATATATACATATATATATGATATATATCATATATATATATATCATATATATATATATGTCTATGATGGCCTCAGCGTCTCTCTCATTTTTCCCCTTCTCTTCACCACCTTGGGCACTTGCCTTGTGTCTTTAAAGCCCTCACCTGGCCCCAACACAGCTGCTACAGCTCCAGGCATTACATCCACATCTCAACAGCATATACAAACAACACAAGCTTTCTAAGACGGTGCAGCGTGTGATGTCTTTTTACCCGACATAGGCAATGATGGAATCGCCTTGTCTCTGTCATCACAGAGGGTAAGGGCTGTAGCACCTTTTGGGGGTCACTAGTTGCCCAGGATGACCTTGAACTCACTCAGGCCTGGAAGTCGTTCTGTAGATCAGGCCATCTTGAGCTCCACCTGCCTCAGCCTCCGGGGTAGCTGGGATGAAAGAAAGGCTTTTGTACCACCGGGCAAGACTGCCTCAAAATAAAAAAGGGGGCTGGGGGCGGGGCTCAGTAGTGGACCACGTGTCTAGAATCTACCAGTGAGGGGCAGGGGGTGTGGCTCGGGGGCGGGCCCTGGGAAGCTCGCTGGGGCTGGGACACCTGAGTGTCTGTGCAGTCTGCGGTTTCCCTATTAATCCAAACTGTTCCGAGGTGAAAGCCGCGCGCTGCGGGTGCGGGCCTTCTGGAGGTCGCGCCTACTTTTTTCAATCCCCTGTCAGGCCCCAGCTTGTGATGGGAAGCTAGGCTCAAAGAATGGCCTGAGGTCATGCTGAGGGAGGAGTCTGTACCGGGGAGAGGCGTCTCACCTGTGGGTGTGAAGGGGCTGGGTGGCTGGCCGCACCCCAGGGCCGGCCCCAGTAAGCTTCCCTCACCTGGATCTTGGCTAATCGCTCAGTCAGGAGGGCGGATGTGGCTCTATATAATTATAGTTTGTTCAGTTCATAGGCTGTCAGCTGGGGGCCCCCAGGGGAGGGTGGGAGGAGGCTTTGGGCAGCGTAAAGCTCCCATTAGTAGAGCAAATTGGGCCTGCTTGGCAGTCTGTAGGCCTTGGGGAGGCCTCAGACCAGGCCCCGCCTGAGCTGCCGGGGTGGAGGCTGCCGCAGGGAAGGAACTGAGGTCCTGGGTTGTTCAGCTCCCTTTTGAGATGGGCGGGCTTCATCTCCACTAGAAACACTGTGGCCCCTTGAATGCACCCGCCTGTATTCCAGGCCTCAGTTTCCCCAGCTGCCCAAGGAATGAGGTCCTCCTGGCTCTTGGGGAAAAGAAAGAGAATTACGATCTGGGTTTGGCAGTACATGCCGGCCCTCTCAGCATTTGGGAGAATGAGGCAGGAGGTTTTTGAATTCTGGAGAATTCTGGACTATACAACATGAGTTTCAGGCTAACCAGGGCTACATAATGAGACTGCCTCAAAAATCCCAAAACTCAAGTCTAGGGAGATGGCTCAGTTGGTACAGTGTTTGTCTTACAAGCACAGGGGCCTGGGTTTGATCCCTATCGCCCACATACAAAAGCTGTCATGGTGGTGCATGCTTGAAACCCTTCAGGGAGAAGGCCGAGGTGGGGTGGGGTGGGGAATCCCTGGGGATCCCCGGAGTTCCCTGGGGCTTGTTCCAGCCAGCTTAGGCAGACGGGAAAACTCCAGGCCAAGACAAGACCCTGTCTCAAAAGACAAGGTGGACAGTCTCCTGAGAAATGACACTTGAGGTGGCCTTTTGACATTCACATGTATGTGTGCAACACACACACACACACACACACACACACACACACACACACACACCATCTCTGTGAGTTAGAGGCCAGCCTGATCTACATGAGGAGTTCTAGGACAGCAAGGACTACATACATAATGAGACCTTGTTTCATCCATAAATAAAGAGAGAGAGAGAGAGAGAGAGAGAGAGAGAGAGAGAGAAGAAGGGAGACAAGATCTCATATAACCCAAGTCACCGTGTAGGTGGAGATGAACTTCTGATCCTTCTGACTCTACTTCCTAAGTGCTGGAACTACAGGGGTACACCTGATGCTGGGTATACGTGGCGCTGGGGATCAACCAGAGTTCTGTGCACGCCAGGTAAACACTCTACCCACTGAGCCACGTCCACGGGCCCGATGGGGAACATTTCCGATTGAAACCATAACAGAGCCATGCATGGTGCTTCACTGGCCTGAAGCCCCTGCACCTGGGAGGCAGAAGCAGGAGGATTATAAATTCAAGGGCATCCTGGGTTACCTAGTGACTTGATAACAGTCTAGGCAATTTAGTGAGATTCTGTCTCACAAATCAAAACCAAAACAAAACAATTAAATCATAACAGGACTAGACCCTCCCCCCTTCCCCACTCTGGTCCCTCTTGGCTGTAGAGAATGCCCCTGCCATCACACTGTCTCACGAGTGGTAGGGTTTCCTGTCCTTCCTGTGGGTAGGTCCTGAAGAAAGGCCGACTATGAGTTTCTGCTCTACAGCCTGTCAGATCTGTGGTCCTGCACTGCTTTCTAAGGCTGTTTGAGTGCAGGCTGGCCCCAGCCTCTCTTGTTCACCCCACGGAGCAGGCTCTTGTCGCTGCTTCTACCAACAAAGGAGGGCAGAAGGATCACCATGGCTTCCTGAGGTTACGTCACATAATCTGAGGCTCTTTCAACATTATTTCCTGGGACATTTTTGTTACAGCCCTGGACTTTCGCCATAGGCCAAGTCTGACTACCAGGAAAGAGGTGGCCATATCGTAATGAAGCCCAAGTCACAGCATTCTGGTCAACCTACAGTGTCTTTGAAATCTTTCCAGTCCAGACAGCAAACATACATGACCCAGCCTGTAATTATTGATGCTGACTGTCTACTTGACAGCATCTAGAATCATCATGGGACAGGCATCTATCCTTGGGTGTCTGTAAGGAAGTTTCTAAACTGGGTTGGGGTGGGAAGACCCACCCTGAACATGGGTGACCCCATCCCATGGATTTGTGTCCTGTACTGAACAACACAGGAGAAAGTGAGCTGAGCACCAGCGTCCATCTCTCTCTGCTTCCTGACCATGGATGCCATGTGACCTGCTGCCCTACGCTCCTGCAACTATGCCTTCCTTACCACAGCAGGCCGTACCCTCAGCCTGTGAGCCCAAATCAACCCTTCCTTCCTTAAATTTTATCTTGTCACATCAATGGGAAAAGTAACTTGTTCATACTCCCGGATGGTCTCTGCACCGCCATCTTCCCGTGGGAGGTTCTGAACTTAAGTGTGTTATCTTCTCTAAAGCCCCATCTGACTTTCTAGTCCACAATCCCTGTAAACACCCCACTGGGCTGTGAGCTGACTCTGTCTGTCGTCTATTTGAGATAGGCTGGCCTTGAACTCTCAATCCTCAGTGAACAGAGTGCTGGGTTGCAGGCACACACTGTGTGGACTGGTTCCTTACATAACCATAAACAATCACCAAAGCAGTGATATTAATTTTCCTTTTCCATTTGTTTATTTGGTGTGTGTGTGTGCAGTGGAGATCAGAGGGCAACCTGTGGGGGTCAGCTCTCTCCTCTCACCATATGTGTCCCGCTATTGGAACTCAGGTCATCAGGCTTGGTGGCAAGCACCATTACCTGTTGAGCCATCTCTCCAGCCCCCAAAGCAGTGACATTTGAGTATCTGTGAGGGGTTGGGAGGATCAGATTCCCTCCACACTCCGGGGCTCCGAGGCCCTGCATAGGTCGATCATGAAGTTGGATACACCCATGTCCCAGTCCTTATACGACCACATATCTTAGTTTCTTCGTGTGTAACATGGACTGGGTCATCTGTGAGCATGTGGCTTTGCTGGAGAGTCCAGTGATGTGCCTGCCCGTGGAGGTTCCTTATAAACCATGCTGGAAGATTGCTTGCCCAGCTTCCATAAAGTCCTGGGTTTGATCTCCAAGCACGAATAACCCAGGCATGGTGGCACACACCTATAATCCTTCACTCAGGAGGTAGAGGCAGGAGGATCAAGAGTTCAAGGCCATCCTTGGCTATAGAGTGAATTAGAGATCCGCTTACAGAAAGTCTGACTGTAGCTGAAGTTTTTTTATTTTTTGTTTTGTCCTGCCTGGCTCCCACAGCCCTGCAGCCACTCGGACCCAAGTAAACACACAGAGGCTTATATTAATTAAAACTGTTTGGCCATTAGCTCAGGCTAACTATTGACTAGCTCTTACATTTAAATTAACCAACAATTCTTATTTATGTTTAGCCATGTGGCTTGGTGCCTTTTCTCAGTTCTGCCTTCACATCTTGCTTCCTCTGTGTCTGGCTGGCGACTCCTGACTCAGCCTTCCTCTTCCCAGAATTCTCCTTGTCTGTTTATCCCACCCATACTTCCTGCCTGGCTACTGGCCAATCAGCATTTTATTTATCAACCAATGAGAACAACACATTCACAGCATGCAGAGCACCATCACCCATCACCTGACTCAAAACAAACAAACAAATAAGAAGCCATGGCTCCAAACCCTGTGTGGTGGTCATTGGTAGGAGACAAGATTGTCTACGGCATTATGACCATTACAGTTTGAATGTGACACCCCCCCTCTCCCAGGGCTACATGTTTGAAGGCTTGTTCTCCACCAGGGGGCGCTGTTTGGGGGAGGTTCTCAAACTTCTAGAAGGTGGGGTTTGTCTGAAGAAAGCAGTCCTGGAAGTGGGCCTGGAAAGTTACACCATGTCCCTGCTTCTGGTTTTGCTCTCTCTGCCTCCTGGCCCACAGTCCTGTGAGGACTGCTCCCATCAGCAGGATGGATGGACCCCTCTGAAGTCCTGAGCCAAAAGTTCCTGTCATCATGGCATGACACTAACCAATACAGTCTCAAACCCAGATGAACATGTCTCGGGATTGTAGAACTTATCCCCTTCACCCCCTCCTTATATTGAGGGCAAAGCAGATGCAAAGTGAACACTGTGGCCTGCCTTTCTGGGGCAGGATGGCTACTTGGACATCCCTGTCCACCATTCCCCAGCAATGAACCATGGTTCCCTTGGGACCACCATGGCCCAAAGGACACTGGCTCCAGAGGAAACACCCAAAGCCATGAATGGTCATTTTTCTGACTCCGTGATAGTTAGGTTTAATTGCAAACTTGACACAGCTTAGGATCATCTAGAAGGAAAACCTTGATTGAGCAATTGTCTTGATGGGGTTTGCCGTGGATGTGTCTATATGGGATTATCTTCATTATTAATTGATGTAGGGGGGGCAGCCACTGTGGGTGGCATTATTCCCTAGGCAGGTGGTTATGTGATATATAGTAAAGCTAGCTGGTGTGCTGGAGAGATGGTAAAGTGGTTAAGAGCCTATACAGCTCTTCTAGAGGGCCAAGGCCAAGTTCCCCCAACCCATGTAGGTTGGTTTACAACCTCCTGGAAGTCCTGCACTCTTCTGACCTTTGTGGGTTCTAATAAACATGTCAGACACACAGGACAGGCACTATCTATCTATCTATCTATCTATCTATCTATCTATCTATCTATCTATCTATTATCTATCTATCTATCTATCTATCTATCTATCTATCTATCTATCTCCAGGTTCCTGACTTGAGTTCCTGTCCTGACCTCCCTTGATGATGGGTTGTGACCTGAAAGTATAAGATGGAATAAACTCTTTCCTCCCCAAATTGGTTTTATCAGCGTATTTTTATCACAGCAACAGAAAGGAGCAGACCCCTCCCCCCAACGGTGAGCTTCAGGTCTGTCATGTATTCAGGAAGGACATCTCCCATAGTCCTGTGGCCACTGATCCAGGCTGGATTAGCAAGCTACAGGCCAAGGGAGAGACCCTGTTTCAAAAAACAAGATGTAGCGTTACTGAGGAAAATTAGCTGGACTCTGGATAGGCCAGAACCTGCCTAGGAGTCAAAGACTAGGTCTGGCTAGGAGCTTCTGCAACCTAACCGTTTGTGTGCCAGGCAGAACCCCGACTTACAGTCTAGTAGTCTTCCTGTCTCCCCTGATCTTCCTCTCATCCCAAAGGAACTGGCAAATCACTTCCCTCAACTCTAATTACCAGGCAGTGGTGGAGATGTTTTGAGGGCAATTAGAGGGTGCTCTGCTTTTTTCCCCAAACCCCTGGGATCCCCTCCTTTCCAGCTGCCCCCTTACATCCCCAGAAAGGGGCTTCCTCTCATTAGAAGAGGCAAGACAGCCTTTAAAACCAGAAGAATGTCTCCCCGAATGCCTCAGGCCTATTTTATAGCTATGGCCACGGGAGGGTGGGCCAAGCCAGGGTGTACATACTATACACACACGCGAGAGGAGTCTGTTCAAAGGACCCATGGCTTCAGACGTCCTGCTGTAAAAATAGCTGTGGGTTGATGGCTTCGAGGAGAAAGGGGCAGGGGCAGTCTACCCCTCTGAGCTCCTGAGGTAGTCTAAACCAGAGGAAATGGAGGTTGATGCCAGGCCTGGACACTCTTCTCTGGGTCCTTTGTGCGAAGTTGTTAGTGTGTGTGTGTGTGTGTGTGTGTGTGTGTGTGTGTGTGTGTGTGTAAAGGTCAGAGGTCAACCTTGCGTACTTTCTTCAGTAACTCTACATCTTGTTTTTTGAGACAGGGTCTCTCCCTTGGCCTGTAGCTTGCTGATCCAGCCGGGCTACCTGACCAGCAAGTCCTAGGTTCTGCCTATCTCTGTCTTCCCAGCTGGAATTGTAAGTTTGCTCTCTTATGCCTGGTTTGCTTGTGTGGGGATCAAACCCAGACTGAATCATCTCCCTGGCTATTTATTGCTGTGGTTTGTTTTTTCGAAGTAGGGTCTTACTGTGTAACCTAGGCTGGCTTTGAACTCCTGGTCCTCCGACTTCAGCTTCCTGGGTGCTAGGATTACTGGTATGCCACCACATCCAGCTTTCTATGGACCCTGGAGGCTACTCTTTCATCATCCATGTCTCCCTGTTTGACCGTGACCTCTGGTGCTATGTGACTTCACACCTTTATGGGTGTGCTCGCACATTCAGAAACTTACCTTTTCTCTCTAGACCCACAAACAAAACTCACCATCGCCTCTGTATTCTAGGCCCAATGTGGGGACATCTGCCCACCGAAGCAAGCTCCTCTGAATGGGTGGTGGCATTCTCTGGTTCTGTCATTCTTAGAGCCACACTGGTGTTATTCACCACAGGGCATGGTGACTCAGAAAGTCCTCAACAGCTATGTAGTGCATGAATCAACTCATAGGCACTGTCTAACTAGGTCACTAAATTGTTCCCAACCTTGGGGTCACTAGTGGATCATGAGTTCTTCATCACAGTAGCCCACACAGATGCTGGTCTGAATTGCCTTAAGGACACGCTTGGGAAGTGAGCTCCCTGTCACAGGTGGTGGGCAAGGAAAAGCCACCTGAAAGAAAGTGGCCGAGGGTGCTGCGTCAGATACTTTTCTCATCAGGGTCACGCAGTCAGGGAGAGAAAAGATTTATTATGCCTCAGGGATTCAGGGGGCATGGGTCCATCGGGGCAGGAAGGTGTGGTGTCGGGACTAGCTCCTGTTCGTGATGGTGGAAACTTCTCTCCTGCATGGCACCAGACAGGAATCAGAGACCCAGACACAGTGGTGTAAGCCCAGCCCTCAGGAGGTGGAGGCAGGGGGATTCAAGGTCAAGCCCTCCTTGGCTACACAGCAAGTTCAAAGCCTGAGCTACATGAGGGTTCGGCTCATGGGACTAATCTGGTTTCCTTTTCTGTTTCTGCGATAAAACATCCCGACCAGGATCAACTTGGGGAGGAAAGGGCTTGTTTGGCTTACACGTCTGGGTCACAGTTTATCAATGAGGGAAGCCAGGGCAGCAAGCTGAAGCAGAAACCACGGAGGAACACTGCTTGCGGGCTTGCTCACAGGTTCACGTTCAGCTAACCTTCCTACACAGCCCAGGGTTCACCTCCCCAGGAAATGGCGCCACCTGCAGTGGGCTGGGCCCTCCTACATCATTTAATAATCAAGACCATTCACTACAGACATGCCCACACGCCGTCAATCTGAACTATATAGTTCCTCAACTGAGACTCTAGGATGTGTCAAGTTGACAGTTAAAGGACACCAACCACACAAGCAAACAACAACAAAGAGACAGCTGGGGTGTGGCTCAGTGGTTAGAGCACCTGCCTAGAATCCCCCAGTGAGGGGCTGGGGTGTGGCTCAGTGGTAAAGCACCTGCCTAGAATCCCCCAGTGAGGGGCTGG